CCCGACGCCACGCAAAATCGAAAAGACCCCGGATTCTGCCCCCTCTCCCCGACCGCAGAACGACCCCCCAACCCAAAAAACCAAAAAAACAAAAATTACTGTGTTTTTTACATGCTCATGAGATCTGCCTGGGCGTCATGCCCGGGTCACCGGCCGGTCGTCAAAATCTTCCTACCGTCTTCCCCCGAATATAACGCACCCTGATAATGAACGTATAGAGAGTGTAAAACCATGTGGATGTTTCCCTGTTGGTTCTCGTTCCTGCTGTTTTGGTAATGCATGCAGTTTAAAACCCTGTGGATGTTTTTCTACCGACTTCCAAGTTTCCACTCCTGTTGTTTAGACAAGCCATGTCTCTTCAAGGTTACATAAGATATCTTACCCCTATACTTCCTCTTCTCTATTAGCTGTCACATGATACCCTCTTGTTCTTCCTCTTCCTCTTCCTCTTCCTCTTCCTCTTCCTCTTCCTCTTCCTCTTCCTGTTCCTCTGCACAACGTCACATGATACCTTCTCCTCATTCTTCTTCGGTATTCGTTGTCAGATGGTACCTTTTTTTTCTTCTTCTACTTGTTCTTTTTCTTCTCCGTCTTCGTTGTCCTCCTCCTCCTCCTCTTCTGCCTCTTCTGCCTCTTCTGCCTCTTCCTCCTCTTCCTCCTCTCTGCCCTACTCAACAACCGGTATGTGGTGGACTTTGCTTTGTACATGGAGGTTGTGCCCACAAAGTGGCAGTTGCAGAAAGGACCACCTTTTTTGTCATTGTCTTCATTTTATTTATTTTTTATTTAGTTTTGTCTTTGTCTTTTCTAGAACGGTATAACCCCCCATTAAACCATCAGTAACTGAAGCCCACTTTCTGTGACACATGGAGGCTGTCGCCAAGCTGTGCAAGTTGGGAAAGGGCCTGTCAGATTGTGGAGTTTGCCTAGAGCCTCCTGAAAGCAGAGAGGCTGAGGGAAATTGATAGCAGAGAGTTTTGAACAAAGACTGGAAGGTTGTCCACAATGGACATCCTCTCAAGAGAAAGACCCCCCCCCCCTCCCCCGCTTGCTTCCTTGTCTTCTCTTTCTGCTCCTCTCTCTCTCTCTCTCTCTCCCCCCCCCCTTATTTATGGAGAGAGGCCTGTTGCGAAGGGCAGTGCCATGCTATCCAAGTGGTCACAATAACCTCCTCCTTTTTGTCTTTTTCGTTTTGTGTTTCTGAAGCTTCGAGGCAGGGGGTTACAATAATCTCCGTCTACGACCGCTGGGGTTACCACTGCCGTCTTCACCTGAATACAACGCCCGGTCATTATCGCTGTACCTAGACTGAAAGTTGAACCAGATACGGCTATAATGACGGGGTGTTCTATTCGGATGAAGACGGTAGTGTTGTAATGATGACCACTTGCTGAGTGTCAGACTGCACTGGTACCCATCTTCTACATGTCTGCTGAGAGTAGTAGTGATGGGATGGGTACCGTCACTACTGACTATTAGGCCCCAGTGATTCTGCAATTGCACTAAGTTAGAATGAACTTGGCCACTTTTGCGAGCAGATTCCTGCTTACTTAAAGATACAGAGATGCAGCAGAGCTTGCCACTCAGAATTAACCCAAAACAACTGCGCTAGCACTGCGGACATTGGAAATTTTCGATTAACAACAAACGCCACTCAGCGGCTATGGCGATGGATGGGTACCGTCACTTAGTGTTAGGCCCCAGTGATTCTGCAACAATTGCACCAAGTTAGAATAGCCGTAGTAGACCCATAACCTTAAGATAGCTCAGTTCTGGTTAGTAAATTTAAGGTAGTCTTAGACCTAGCCCTACAGTCTTACCCCGAATATAACGTACGGTCATTATAGCTGAATTTGGTGCATCTTTAAATTCAGCTATAATGACCGTACGTTGTATTCGGGGGAAGACTGTAGCTCTATATCCTAGCTCCAGTCTCGTCCTGAATCAGTGGAATAGTGGGTACCGTCACTTAGTGTTAGGCCCCAGTGATTCTGCAATTGCACTAAGTTAGAATAGCCGTAGTAGACCCATAACCTTAAGATAGCTCAGTTCTGGTTAGTAAATTTAAGGTAGTCTTAGACCTAGCCCTAGCCCTAGCCCTAGATCCTAGCTCCAGTCTCGTCCTGAATCAGTGGAATAGCTTGCCTCCCGTTGCTGGATTAAGGTGGGGATTCTGGTCGGACNCAGTCTCGTCCTGAATCAGTGGAATAGCTTGCCTCCCGTTGCTGGATTAAGGTGGGGATTCTGGTCGGACTACTAGACAAGGGTAGGTTGAGGTAGTTTCAAGATTTGAGAGAAGAAAATAGGGTAGCAACTACAGCTTGTACGTGGGTACTTCAGGCTACAAGCACGGATGTACTGCTGTTCACCGACAAGACCACGACCAAATACAGCTTGTCCAACATATGAGGAGAAGACAGCTGTTTAAAAAAAAAAAAAAGAAAAAAGCATGGACTTGGCCAGTTTTGCGACCAGATTACTTTTTACTAAGCAGAAGATACAGAGATGCAGCAGAGCTTGCCACTCAGAATTAAACGCAAAATTAACTGGGCTAGGACTGTGGACACTAGAATCTTGCGATCAGCAACAACCGCCGCTCAGCGGCTATGGGGAGAGGAGCCAAGGTGCTGGCCGCTTCACATCCATGAACTCAATACAGTGCACAAACCGCTTTGCAGTGGGCAAAAAAAGGAATAAGAAAATGGGAAAAAGTAAAATTGAAACCTTGCTGTTATGGGCCCTGGCCATTCGAGTCTTGGATTCGTCACATGCTTTCGCGCAGTAACCACCGTAGAAATAATACTACGGAAGTGTGGCTGCGTTAGTGGAGTGGAAGTGTGGTTGGGTACACCGGGTCGCTGGATCTCCGTTGTGGGATTCCGTGCTGGGGTGGGGTGAGGTATTCAGGTTTGAGTCCTTGGGCTTCACTTTCACCCCAGCACACTTAGCCTTATGGTTAGGTGTCTGCCAGCTAAGCCGTTGACAGTGTGTTCGAGTCTTGGATTCGTCACATTCACCAGAGTGACTAGGGACGATGGGTGATTGGCGTGTTCAGATAGGCGGCAGATGTGACTAGGGACGATGGGTGATTGGCGTGTTCAGATAGGCGGCAGATGCCGTCGATGTGAAACTCGGTTCATTTCTGCCAGACATAAACTGCAGGACGTTTACCAAATCTGACTGCCACAAATTTCATAAGTTCGATTCGATGGAGAGGATCATTTCTGCCAGACATAAACTGCAGGACGTTTACCAAATCTGACTGCCACAAATTTCATAAGTTCGATTCGATGGAGAGGATNCGATGGAGAGGATCATTTCTGCCAGACATAAACTGCAGGACGTTTACCAAATCTGACTGCCACAAATTTCATAAGTTCGATTCGATGGAGAGGATTGTCCTCAGCAGTGCAGTTTTTTTTTTTTGTTTAAAAGAGTAAATGCGTCCGAAAGGGCAAACTGACACTACCGTTCTCAGTCATTATAGTCGTATTTGGAACAAATGTCAGACCAGATGCAGCGATAATGACAGGGCGTTTTATTCGGGTGAAGACGGTAGCCTGATCAGAATGCATATAGACGTCTGCACGTCCATGTGCATATCATGCACTTGCACATCTGCATGTCCTGCTACGTTCTGACTCATCCATGGCTGTCGTAGCGAAAAGTGCCGAGCATGCTACAAGTGATGGAAGTATGTCATGAAAAGTGCCAAAAGCACGCCACAAGCGACACAGTATCCCCCCCCGCCCCCCCCAGATCACCCCCCCAAACAGAAACAAAAGAGCACAAAAAAGCTAACCACCGCCCCCCCCGCCCCCCCCGCCCCCCCCCAGAAAAAAGAAAAAGAAAAGAAAAGATAAAAGACACATAAAAGCTATCCCTCCCCCCAAACACAAAAATAGACGTAAAAGCTATCCCTCCCCCCAAACAAAAACACACACACACACACATAAAATAGCTATCTTGCTGGAGGGAGGTCCTGCAGCGAGCCAAACAGAATCGTAGGGTGGGCCATTCCATGTGTGCAGGGGCGGTTCTTTCTCTCAGCTTTAAAAAATATGGTTCAGTTAGTTGAAAGACGTGAACGAAAAAAGTTTTAAGTACGGAACGTCCGCAGAGTTTGGTGGCATGTGATCTTCGATTTGCCGGCCTGTGACTACGCGCTGCCTGCGAATGGTGTCAGACAATCGATGTCTGCGACATGCCTTTCTCTATATGAGGTCGGCAACCCAGGACCCTGCCAGGCTGTTCACAGATTCAGATTCAATTCCTAAGTACAAACTGCAAATGGATCATATATAACGAATAACGACTGCAAATCCTGATGCATGCGATGACGTTTTCTATTGCCAAAACACGGCAATCCTTTCACAGACGTGAGGATATGTGAATGGCCCATTGCCCCCACCATTGAAACGGTTTGTGGCCCAAGAACGTTTCCACAGCCGTTTATTGTTTGTTCAGCCGTAAATTGTACGGAAAGCGCCAGCAGCCAATCCTGCGACGACAATAATGTTGCACTTCCCACTTAACTTCCTCCCAATAAAGATGGCAACCAGTCATTGTTCATCAATGATGACCACCAATCATTCATTCGTCATCCACCAGAGGCCTGTCGTCACAATCCCAGCCCTCCATTCGAAGCCGCTTGGAAGTGGGACCCCCCCTCCTGTGTGATCTTTTTCTGAGAATATCTGTTGGATCTCAAATGCAAATCGGCTCACTACCATCTTCAGCAGAATGGAACGCCTGGTCATTATAGCTGTATGTATTTGGGTCAACATGCAGTCTACATACAGCTATAATGACCGGGTGTTCTATTCGAGTGGAGACAGTAGGCTTGTGTTTCGGCCCTTCAGAGTCGTCGGAGGTTTGCATTTGTTGAGGGATTCCCCCCCCCCCCCTTCTAAGTGAACCTTGCAATTCCAATCCAACTCACCTGTACGCAGAGAACACGCAGATTAAAGTTCACACCACACCGAGAGATGACACAATAATCAGCGCCTGAAGAATTTCCACTTGAAAATATGATATAATACAATTGGAGAGTTCAGATTTTCAACGGCAGTGGCCGCATCCAACACAACCACCCAACTGCAGGTGTGTACTCAACTCCCTCTCTCTCTCTCTCTCTCTCTCTCGGCTCGGGGGAGGGGGCACAACCGCATTTTAGGGAAGTAATGGTGGTTGAGGTTGGGGAGTGTTCAAAGCAAACAAAAGGGTAGAATAATTGGGATGGAGCTCGCCCAGCAATTAACTGCAATAATCTTGTGCCAGTCCTTTCGAACATCCATAATACAGATGAGATGAGCGTGGTCTGTGCACAGACCAAGAATTGGTCAAAAACTGACAAAAGCTCAACAAAAAAAAAGAAAGGATTTCATGTTGCACGGGAGTCCCAGGGCCCAGTCCCGAGTCCTAGCTCCCAGTCCCGGTCCAAGGTCCCAGTCCGGAGTCCCAGGTCCAGTCCCGAATCCCAAGTCCCATTCCGTGTTCCATTAGTTGTTCCAGCCAATTGTACAATGTTCATGAATACTCTAGAAGAGAAGTTTAGTTTGTACCATGATTACAGAGGCCTAGGCGGGCTGGTTAAACCACCCCCTCTATTCGCCTTTAGAAAGTCAGGGAACCAGTAGGCCGTTTTTTCAAACAGGCCCATGGCCTACCAGTAAGTAGGTCAGTATGGGGCCTGGCCTTGGTCCCAGAGTGGCAAAAAATGGAAACATGCCGAATCGGAGCGCCAGTTATTTGAGGGGCAATTTTTTTTTCTTTAATTTTTAATGATATTTTTCCTAGAAAGATCACAACCTAATCTACAGACCCTCAAATTTTAGAATTTTCTATGAATTCTTCTGGGCACGAAAGATCACCAAAGTTGCTGTACTTCTTCTGTTAGCCACACATGGTAGAGTGGGAAAAATGGAAATGCGCTGAATCGGCGCGGCGATTATTTCACGGGCAATTTTTTTATTTTTTTTTTCTGATATTTTTCCTGGAAAGATCACGACCTAATCTATGGACCCTCAAATTTTTAGAATTTTCTGTGAATTCTTCTGAGCACGAAAAATCGCCAAAGTCGCAGCGGGACGAGGCCTGCGGGTTGCCAATGGTCGCCGTCCCCCCCAAAAAACCCGCCTGAACTCACAGGGAGGGCACTTTCCAGGAGGCGGGTAAAGGGGTGGTTTAAGTAGATCATGGTAGGAAGTCCCTGGTAGATAACAGTTATGGGTTGAAGAGTCTGTCTTTAGAAGGCACCACAATCTTTAGCCAGGATCACCAGAGTCGTGAGCCCTCGTGAGCCCAGGTGCCAGTCGATGCATGCAAGCAGCCAAACCCAAGAAGAGTCTGTAAGCTTCCAGAAGCAGGGAACAAAGGCAAAGGGGACCAACCCATAACCAACAGAAGATGTCTGGAAGGTGGATCAGCAAGTATAAAAGCACAACAGCATCAGCAAGCAAGATCAATTGTTCATGCGCAAGTTGCGGAAGCGGCTGAGGGTTGCTTGTGTGATAGTGCGACGTGGATGGAAGGTGGGCGCTGGAGGAGGATGAGTGACCAGCGGGGAAAAGAAGACATCTGGTTACCATAGCTCGTGTTAGAAGGTCGAGGAAGAAGGCGGCCATAGCCACAAGAGTAGGGTGACACACTGCTGTTGCATTCAGGGTAGATCTAGGCGAGGGAGGAGAGTTGAGTGCAGCAGGGAGGTTGAGCGGTACAAGTCTTGAGAGTAAGGGAAGAGAGATACAAGAGAGAGAGAGAGAGAGAGAGAGAGAGAGAGAGAGAGAGAGAGAGAGAGAGAGAGAGAGAGAGAGAGAGAGAGAGAGAGAGAAAGAAAGAAAATGCGGCCGTGCACAGTTTCGGATGTGCACTGGCCTGCGGCGCGTGGATGAATTCATTCGCCTGGAAACAAAGTGGCTTTCGCGCAAAAAACATACCTGGTGGTATGTTTCCCAGCCATTTTGCAGAAATGCACCGTGCGTGCTGGCACGTCGGGCAGGATGCATCAGGGTGCTGTTTCACCCGAAATCCATCCAGGCAAAATGGGTTGCATGCAAGGCCCAATTTGCCTGGATGAATTTCGGTCGAAACAGCACACTGGTGCATCCATCCCGCTCGACGCGCGCCAGCATGCATTTCTGCAAAATGGCTGGGAAATGTACTGGTGGTTCAACATATTCTGCTGTCTCATCTGGGTGCATGTATGCACAAAGGTAGTCGAAACCTGCACTCACCCGGACAAGTCTCGGTTCAGGATTCCCAACACTGCAAGTTGTAAGTGTTGGGCTCTTTGATTGACAAGCTTTTTGTCTTTTTCTTTTTTTTGGGACCATTTCTCAATTTCTGAGTGTCATCCTTGTGCAGGGGCCATTCTAATATTCTATGCATCATCCAATTTTTGACTGGTTGTTTGTCAGATAATTTCATCTGCCCAAGCAAGGTCGGAGAATGGACATTCTTCCAAGAATCCCAACTCTGAAGGCAGTCCTGTTTGATGTCGATGGTACTCTTGCCGACTCGGACCCTTTGCATTTGCTGGCATTTCAAGAGCTGCTGGCGGAAATCGGATTCAATGATGGTGTTCCAATCGACAAGGAGTTTTTTGTCAGGTATGATTTGCTTCTAGGGAATACTGGTTTGATAACCTTTTTCTTTTTTTTTTTCAATTTTGGGATGTATGATCATGTATTCCTTTTTTGTCACGTGGCTGGTGGATGGCAAATGGTCTTGGGTGTGTAGAGTGGGGTTTTATGGCTGTGATGTATTCCTTTTTGTCAGGGGGTCTGAACTAGACCTGACTGATAGACTACTGTAGTTTACTGGACTTACTGCTGTCATTGTCAGGGGTATGAACTAGACAGTCTGCTAGGGGTGGGAGGATTCGTGTGAGGAAAGTAAACAACTTTGCTAAAGGGTATTGCTAACTTTGGGCAAGGTGGTGTGAGTCCTTATCCAGCAGACAAATGCATCGTGGGTGGATTTTTCGGGTTCAATCTGCTGATGAGTTGATGAAAGTCCAATCTGTCGAGTTCCCCCATTTTGTCTTTTTCGGTGGAGACATGTTTTAGCAAGAGGATCTCAAGAAAAAAGTAGTAGAAAATATAACTACGAAAGATAAAGAGGAAAAACCTGATTTAATTTTATTAACTCCTATATGTACTTCTAGTGTTTTACAAGAAGACTTGCAGAATTTTCTGGATCAAGTTTCAATGGAATCTAATTCTGATGTAATCTTAGCAGATGTAAATCACTTCAGAGTAAATGAACTGGCAAATACCCTGGACCAGTGGCTCACAGTCTAAGAGGACACAGTCTGGCTTAGTCTTTCTGGTTCCATAACTTCATTATGAAGGCAAGTGGACCTATGCACCCACTACGAAAGAGAAACTCCCCAAGAGAGAGAAGAATAATGTGCTCCGAAAGCACACACACAGACACACTCACCAAAGCCACAACCCAGACCAATCCCTTGCTGACGGACGCATCAGTCCAACCTCGGTGCAAGCAGTGCCCTCGGCTCACCGCGTACGACTGTGGTAAATCTCCCATTCTCATGTTCATGTGTGTGTGCGTGTGTGCGTTGTCATGTTCAGTGTGCATGTGTGTGTGTTGTGGGATTGCGGGGGGAGGGGGGGGGGGGGGGGGGGGGGGGGGGGGGGGGGGGGGGGTTACAATGGACTCTGTGATAGGTAATTGCTGATGTGTAGTGCATGCTTTTTCAAGGGTTTTGAAAGTTTCAAACTTTTTTCCTTCTTTTTTTCGGCCCGTGTGTGTGATGATGATATGCGTGTGTTTCGTTACGTTCACCATACCCAAGCCCCCCCAAAAGCATGACTTTGCCGGAGTCTTTCATCGAACTTCCGATGACTCATCAGGAGATTGAACTGCGACCATATGCGGAGGATGTATTCAACTGATGGATAAGGGCTCACAACGACACGGAGGCTTAGTATTACCGTTGAGAGAAAAGTGGTCGGCTTAACTCACACCAACCCTGTCATCCTCGCAGACTCTGTGTGTGTGTGTGTGTGTGTGTGTGTGTGTGTGTGTGTGTGTGTGTGTGTGTGTGTGTGAGAGAGAGAGAGAGAGAGAGAGAGAGAGAGAGAGAGAGAGAGAGAGAGAGAGAGAGAGAGAGAGAGAGAGAGAGAGAGAGAGAGAGAGAGGGACGTCTTTCACACGACCTTCTCCTCCCCTCCCACTTCCTCCTCTTTACCTTCTCCTGCCCTTCATGCAACCACCTCCCCAGCATCAGCTCATCCTCCTCCTCCCCATCCTCCCCCTCGCGCTCCCGCAACGTCCTCCTCATTCTCGCACAACCTTCTCCAGCCCCTCTGCCATCTTGTCCCCCTCCCCCTCGCACGACCTCCTGTTCCCCCTCGGGTGACCTCCTCCTCCCCATTATGCAACCTCCTCCTTTCCCTCATGCAACCTCATTCTCACCCTGACGTGACCTCCTCCTCCACCTTGCATGACCTTCTTCTCACCCTTGACCTCCTCCTTCCCCTTGTGCGACCTTGTCCTTGATTGGTATAGACTGATTAATTGTTTGATTGATCCCTTCCCCCGCTTGCGCGCCCTCTTCCTCCCCCTCTCACGACCTCCTCCTGCCGTCCTCCACCCTCCCCTGCTCCGCCATGCCATCCTTCTCCTCTACACTTCCCTGCTCCACCATGTCATCCTTCTCCTCCCCCTCCTCGTCTGCCACCTTTCTGTCATCCTCCGCCTCGCACAACCTCCTCCTGCCCCTCTGCCACTTTCTTGTCCCCCTCCCCCTCGTGCAACGTCCTCCTGCTCATCGCTGTACCTCCTCGTTCACATCGTGTGAGGACAACATTTGACCACCTGGACAGGTGCACGCCCGACACATAGGACCTGCACCCCTGCCGCACAGCAATGACACCTGGACATGCTTGCTGCACCCGTCGCCATTTGTCACCATTCTGAACTTCTGAAGGTATCTTGACGTCAAAATGGTACTGATACATTTGAAAGGTTGGTCTTTGGCAAGTGGGCGCACCGCTCCCCAAGAGCCAACATTCTGAATGTACAAGGACGGGAATCCAGTCCACATACAATCCAAATGTTTGCGTTCGGCAAGACATTGGACTGGCCCCCCTCCTCACACTCGGGCCCGGCCCAAGTAGCACTCCGCGTGTTTGGAATGGGTGCCAACAAAACAAAAAAACATGTGCGGGGTCGCTATGCACTTGTATGCCAACAAAACAAAAAAACATGTGCGGGGTCGCTATGCACTTGTATTCCAACATTCGGCCCCGCGCTTACAGCACAACCCCCAAAAAAAGAAAGTGCGGATTCCGCACAACGGACACGGAGCAAAGCAGTGCATCACCTTCTCACACCACAAGTGAACCTCACAAGCTGTTGGTTCCCACCACCAGCTGACCCGGGGACACACTCCAACGAACATCCGTCAATATGCGTAGGTCACACAGACATCTCGAACTGAGCAGCCCCCCCTAGTAGGGCAGTAGGCACTCCAAACGAGGAATGACTGACTGTTTGGAACTGCTTAGAGGTGCTCCTTCAGACAGGCATTAAACCACTAGTACCTTTGTCAGTTCGGAAAATAGTGGGCCTCTGACCTTTCAGGAGGCCGAAA